ATGTGTCAGCCATATCTGTCGATTATCAAGGCAATGATAATAATCAAAGAACAATTGCCTATCTCTCCGACCGACCATTTAATATGCATAGGGGGCCGCTGGGATTTTATCAAAAAAGTAATTTGTCACTGAAAATTCCTAAGAATAATAATCGCCTTCCACCCAAATTACATTGTTGCAAGGTGTTTTTCGAAATTCCGGCTCATAGATTTAAATAAAAAAATCTGGTTTTGCAGCTGAAGCTGAAAAAATATCTTATCTCGATGCAAACTCCCTGTCCCCACCCAGAATATCAAATGGTCGGTCCCTACAACCATACTGCCTCGAATCTCACACATATGTTTGAAACCAGTTAGCTCAATTGGGTTTCTCATCCACAGGTGTGTGAGAAATGAATTAGTTATCTATCAATGAAAATGGTTTAAATCCGTCAATATCTATCACCTTTACTAAAAGCAGCCATCTTTATAGCATCAAGTGACGTTTGATCTCGATAATGACCAGTCGAGAACCCAGCCTATGTTTTATGGTGAGTGAGTGAGTGAGTTGGGTTTTAACGCCGCTTTTAACAGTATTCCAGTTATATCGCGGCGTGTCAGCTTAATGTGGGAGGAAAGCCCGAAGTGATGCAGGTCTCAGACGTTTACCACTTCGGTGAAACCCACGAGCACGGGTATGGTGCTGACAAACCTAGAAACATAATCGGGGCGAACCGGGATTCGAACCCACAATCATAGGTTTCTGGCGTGCCCAAGGGACGCAACTCTGCACAGCGAATCGCGGCGCCTTAGACGACTGGGCCACCCGTGCCCCCCTATGTTTTATGATTTAAAGCAAACTGAATTGCATTGGAACTGATTGATAACTGTCTCCCGGAAGCAAATCTAATCCATGACGTCATAAGCAATGGCCGATTTGGCAGACAGTTGAACTTGGCCTCCTATTTAATTCAATTCTAGAGACCGCCTCCGTGGTCTAGTGGTAGAGCGTCCGCCCGGAGAGCGGAATGTCCGTGATTCGATCCCGGGCCGCGTCATACCAAAAGACGTTTAAAGATGGTACTTGTTGTTACCCTGTCTGGCGCTCGGCATTAAGGGGCTAAAACAAGGACTGGTCGGCTCGGAGTCAGTATACTGTGTCTGAGTGGGGTATTCATGTTAAACTGCGGCATGGTATCTCAGTGGGCTAGCACTATAAATCGGCATCAGTCCGGACTAGTTCAAGCAGCCACATACACGTGCATGCACGTCGCTGTATAAGTGCAATAATCTTAGACGTGACGTTAAATCCAATTTCACCTCACCTAATTCAAGAGCCTCTGTTCAAATTTACGTCCAACTTTATGTTCAGGCTAGAGTTGGGAATCCTAATTAAGGAGTCGTAGGCAATATATGACTCCATGTCGTTTGATTGGCTGACCAAGTATGTTCGCGTTTATAAACATAAGACTACTCTTTGCTGATTGGCTGATAACAGAGTGGGCGGGGTTTGCGTTACATTACTGCGCTGAACAATATCACTGATCACATATCGTTGTCTTCGTTTTTCGTGTTAAGGTTAAATAAGCAGTCTAAGTTATTATTGTTTACTTATTTAGTCATAAGAATTGTCTACAATATGTGTTTTGCGTTCATGGATGCAGTAACAACGTTTCAGAGTTACTTCTTACCCATTCATCAGATGAATGAGGGCATTGTAATAAACCCAGTTTCAAATTATCTACCTTTATATATTAATGATGCAGATAAACAGGGATATCGTTAGTGTCAGTTCGGATTGATCAAATATTTATATACAGTCACTACCGCTGTTGTCGCCAGGTTCAGAATAAACATATTTAACCAATTAATTGTTAATCGTGTTCACGTGTTTGTGAATGGGACAATCTAATCTGATTTTCATGAACAACCAAGTTGGAAATTGTTATTTGATTATAAACAGAAAGTTGATCAAGGAACGACAAAGGGTAAAAAGAAATACACATATATATGAGCAGCATTGACATTCAACATGTACAGGTACAGGTAACCTCGAGACAGGGATATCATTGCAGATATAGCAAGTAGCATAGATACAAAATATAAACAGGTAACTTCGAGACAGGGATATCATTTCAGATATAGCGAGTAGCATGGATAGATAATATAAACAGGTAACTTCGAGACAGGGGTATCATTTTAGATATAGCGAGTAGCATGGATAGATAATATAAACAGGTACCTTCGAGACAGGGGTATCATTTCAGATATAGCGAGTAGCATGGATAGATAATATAAACAGGTAACTTCGAGACAGGGATATCATTTCAGATATAGCGAGTAGCATGGATAGATAATATAAACAGGTAACTTCGAGACAGGGGTATCATTTCAGATATAGCGAGTAGCATGGATAGATAATATAAACAGGTAACTTCGAGACAGGGGTATCATTTCAGATATAGCGAGTAGCATGGATAGATAATATAAACAGGTAACTTCGAGACAGGGATATCATTTCAGATATAGCGAGTAGCATGGATAGATAATATAAACAGGTAACTTCGAGACAGGGGTATCATTTCAGATATAGCGAGTAGCATGGATAGATAATATAAACAGGTAACTTCGAGACAGGGATATCATTTGAGATACAGCGAGTAGCATGGATAGATAATATAAACAGGTAACTTCGAGACGGGGGTATCATTTCAGATATAGCGAGTAGCATGGATAGATAATATAAACAGGTACCTTCGAGACAGGGGTATCATTTCAGATATAGCGAGTAGCATGGATAGATAATATAAACAGGTAACTTCGAGACAGGGGTATCATTTTAGATATAGCGAGTAGCATGGATAGATAATATAAACAGGTACCTTCGAGACAGGGGTATCATTTCAGATATAGCGAGTAGCATGGATAGATAATATAAACAGGTAACTTCGAGACAGGGATATCATTTGAGATACAGCGAGTAGCATGGATAGATAATATAAACAGGTAACTTCGAGATAGGGATATCATTTTAGATATAGCGAGTAGCATGGATAGATAATATAAACAGGTACCTTCAAGACAGGGGTATCATTTCAGATACAGCGAGTAGCGTGGATAGATAATATAAACAGGTAACTTCGAGACAGGGATATCATTTGAGATACAGCGAGTAGCATGGATAGATAATATAAACAGGTAACTTCGAGATAGGGATATCATTTTAGATATAGCGAGTAGCATGGATAGATAATATAAACAGGTAACTTCGAGACAGGGGTATCATTTCAGATATAGCGAGTAGCATGGATATATATGTACAGGTAACTTCGAGACAAGTACTTCAGTCGGTTAATATAGTCATGTCGTCGGCGCAGGTTGTCAGTCAGCCTGATACACGGGAGGGGGACCCTACCGTCGCGGAGCGGAAATAGAACTGGATGACCATCGCAGCCTGGCAAAAGTTTCAACATTGATCAAGACTGATCACAGGAAGTACTGTGTAATCCAAGACGGAACAACGCAAATCACCTGGGATTCACGAATGCTCAAAGCAACCCTTTTAAATCTGTAAATGATGACTACCCTTTGCAAGTCGGTCAACGTCAATTCTATGTTCGTGTAAATTAAGACTTTGCAACGTCAATTCTGTGCTCATGTAAATTAAGACTACCCAATGCAAGTTAGTCAACGTCAATTCTATGTTCATGTAAAATAAGACTGGGCAATGTCAATTCTATGTTCATGTAAATTAAGACTGGGCAATGTCAATTCTGTGTTCATGTAAATTAAGACTGGGCAATGTCAATTCTGTGTTCTTGTGAATTAAGACTACCCAATGCAATTTGGTCAGCTCAAACCCTGTTTAAATCGACTTCTCAACCCAAAGCCTATTTATGTCAAGACTTTAAACGAAAGCCCGGTTTATATCAAGATTGTTCAAAGCTTTCCAAGGCTGATCAACACGAATCCTGCTGAAACGTAACGCGACACAATGACAGCTGTTCGTTGCCTGTTCCTCTGCACGCGCAGGGTGCCCCGCCCCCTGGTGGCAATGACGGCGGTGGGGATGATAACACTAACAGTATTCTGTTGTACAACAGGCAAGTATGGTTATCTGTGTGTTATCTGTGTGTTATCTGTGTGTTATCTGTGTGTAACAATAGGCAGTTATCAGTGTAACAAGGGACGTCAGTCTGACTGGCGGACAAGCGTAAGTGCTGTAGTGCATCGCGTTAATATTTGTTCATCATTCCTAAAAATCATCCTCATCATCAGCCTCGTCCCCCAGCTGTGACAACATGGTGAAAGATATATATTCACGATGACAAATTGTGAGCTTGGGATACAGTAGAATGGCCACGTTATACTTGCTTGGTTACACCCTCTGACATATTGCCAATACCGTCACCGACACAATTTTAAACATATTAAAATATGTTACTGCAAACTGGGCGTTCATTACAGCGTCACGGAGGAAATGTTCAGCCATGTAGGAAACTGATCCGGGTTTTGATACATGAACCGGTATGAAAAGAATCGAATAATCATAGTTAACCTGAGTAATTGATCTGGGGCTTTTATGAAATGAAAAATGATACTATCGAATTATTTTTTCTTGTGAAAGAAAACACGGACACACGTCCAACCCGAGGTTCCCGAGGATATACGTTTATAGTAAACTTTCACAAACCGAACGTAACGCTACGTCTGTAGTAATTTAAGTCTGTGTTTAAGTAATAATAATTATGATAAGTGCAAGTAGATGCTCATAGCGCTACACTATTATTTCCCCGGTCAATGGATCAGTGTGCACTCGATTTTAATTCTCAGCTCCCTGGGGAGTATACAACCCAAGCTGCCTGTGAGGCGCTAGAAGGTTAACAGCCACATTACCATCTCATCCTACCGGGTACCCACTCACTGCTGGGTGAACAGAGGCACATTTCGAACAAAGTCACTTGCCTAAGGAGACACCACATGTGGTATATGTGCTTCAGTGTGGGGCAGGTCCTAAGCCCTAGGCCCAGAAACGCTCAGGAGTCAAGCTCCTTGACGTGGTCACCCATCCAACTAATCATCATTCTGATCTGGATGTGTGATAAAGGATAATTATACATGCATCCTATGGAAACTGTAACGCCGGTTTATCATATCTGTAGCACTAAGATATTTTAACAAGCGTATAATAGCTGTACACAGACGACTATCTTTCATATATGTTTATCCAGACTTACACTGTGAGTGTGTGAGTGAGTGAGTATTCTGGTAGAAATAACGGACAATAATGTCTTATATATTTTTCATTTCATCATCTACCAGGCAACAAAGTCCGTCGGAAGTCAACTGGTGATCATGCGGCCAGAACATCACAGGTAATCAGCTCGATAAATGTTACGGGTTTCAGACATTCCTTGGTCAGTGAGTAATCGATGTTTTGTAATTTGAAATCCCAGGCGTTACAAATATCAGACAATTCGAAATTATTCGGCCATCGAAATAAACTATGACCAGCGCATTTTTAAGTAGTGTGTACATAAGTCCCCCGGTGATCATGCTAAAATGTGTAGATGTCTTCAAAGGCGATCGTGCTCAGATGTGTACATGTCTTCAAGGGTGATCACGCTCAGATGTGTACATGTTTCCCAAGGTATTCATGCACATACGTGTACATGTGTCTCAAGGTGATCATGCACAGATGTGTTCATGTGTCCCAATATGATCATGCACAGATGTGTACATGTGTCCCAAGGTGATCATGCACATATTTGTTCATGTGTCCCAAGGTGATTGTGCACAGATGTGTTCATGTGTCCCAAGGTGATCATGCACAGATTTCTTCATGTGTCCCAAGGTGATCATGCACAGATGTGTTCATGTGTCCCAGGGTGATCATGCACAGGTGTGTACATGTGTCCCAAGGTGATTGTGCACAGATTTGTTCATGTCTCCCAAGGTGATCAGGCACAGATGTGTTCATGTGTCCCAAGGTGATCATGCACAGATTTCTTCATGTGTCCCAAGGTGATCATGAACAGATGTGTTCATGTGTCCCAGGGTGATCATGCACAGGTGTGTACATGTGTCCCAAGGTGATTGTGCACAGATTTCTTCATGTGTCCCAAGGTGATCATGCACAGATGTGTTCATGTGTCCCAGGGTGATCATGCACAGGTGTGTACATGTGTCCCAAGGTGATTGTGCACAGATGTGTTCATGTGTCCCAGGGTGATCATGCACAGGTGTGTACATGTGTCCCAAGGTGATTGTGCACAGATTTCTTCATGTGTCCCAAGGTGATCATGCACAGATGTGTTCATGTGTCCCAGGGTGATCATGCACAGGTGTGTACATGTGTCCCAAGGTGATTGTGCACAGATTTCTTCATGTGTCCCAAGGTGATCATGCACAGATGTGTTCATGTGTCCCAGGGTGATCATGCACAGGTGTGTACATGTGTCCCAAGGTGATTGTGCACAGATTTCTTCATGTGTCCCAAGGTGATCATGCACAGATGTGTTCATGTGTCCCAGGGTGATCATGCACAGGTGTGTACATGTGTCCCAAGGTGATTGTGCACAGATGTGTTCATGTGTCCCAGGGTGATCATGCACAGGTGTGTACATGTGTCCCAAGGTGATCATGCACAGATGTGTACATGTGTCCCAAGGTGATCATGCACAGATGTGTACCGGTGTCCCAAGGTGATTGTGCACAGATGTGTTCATGTGTCCAAAGGTGATCATGCACAGATGTGTACATGTGTCCCAAGGTGATCATGCACAGATGTGTACCGGTGTCCCAAGGTGATTGTGCACAGATGTGTTCATGTGTCCCAAGGTGATCATGCACAGATGTGTACATGTGTCCCAAGGTGATCATGCACAGATGTGTACCGGTGTCCCAGGGTGATCATGCACAGATGTGTTCATGTGTCCCAAGGTGATCATGCACAGATGTGTACATGTGTCCCAAGGTGATCATGCACAGATGTGTACCGGTGTCCCAAGGTGATTGTGCACAGATGTGTTCATGTGTCCCAAGGTGATGATGCACATATTTGTTAATGTGTCCCAAGGTGATTGTGCACAGATGTGTTCATGTGTCCCAAGGTGATCATGCACAGATTTCTTCATGTGTCCCAAGGTGATCATGCACAGATGTGTTCATGTGTCCCAGGGTGATCATGCACAGGTGTGTACATGTGTCCCAAGGTGATTGTGCACAGATTTGTTCATGTGTCCCAAGGTGATTGTGCACAGATGTGTTCATGTCTCCCAAGGTGATCAGGCACAGGTGTGTTCATGTGTCCCAAGGTGATCATGCACAGGTGTGTTCATGTGTCCCAAGGTGATCATGCACAGATGTGTTAATCTGTCCCAAGGTGATCATGCACAGGTGTGTTCATGTGTCCCAAGGTGATCATGCACAGATGTGTTAATCTGTCCCAAGGTGATCATGCACAGGTGTGTTCATGTGTCCCAAGGTGATCATGAACAGATGTATACATGTGTCCCAAGGTGATCATGCACAGATGTATACATGTGTCCCAAGGTGATTGTGCACAGATGTGTTAATCTGTCCCAAGGTGATCATGCACAGATCTGTTCATTTGTCCCAAGGTGATCATGCACAGATGTATACATGTGTCCCAAGGTGATCATGCACAGATGTGTTCATGTGTCCCAATGTGATCATGCACAGATGTATACATGTGTCCCAAGGTGATCATGCACAGATGTGTTAATCTGTCCCAAGGTGATCATGCACAGATGTGTACCAGTGTCCCAAGGTGATCATGCACAGATGTGTACCAGTGTCCCCAGGTGATCATGCACAGATGTATACATGTGTCCCAAGGTGATCATGCACAGATGTGTACCAGTGTTTCAGGGTGATCATGCACTGATGTGTACATGTGTCCCAAGGTGATCATGCACAGATGTGTTAATCTGTCCCAAGCTTATCATGCACAGGTGTGTTCATGTGTCCCAAGGTGATCATGCACAGATGTGTCAATCTGTCCCAAGGTGATCATGCACAGATGTGTTCATGTGTCCCAAGGTGATCATGAACAGATGTATACATGTGTCCCAAGGTGATGATGCACAGATGTGTTCATGTGTCCCAATGTGATCATGCATAGATGTATACATGTGTCCCAAGGTGATCATGCACAGATGTGTTAATCTGTCCCAAGGTGATCATGCACAGACGTGTTCATGTGTCCCAAGGTGATCATGCACAGATGTATACATGTGTCCCAAGGTGATCATGCACAGATGTGTACCAGTGTTTCAGGGTGATCATGCACTGATGTGTACATGTGTCCCAAGGTGATCATGCACAGGTGTGTACATGTGTCCCAGGGTGATCATGCACATATGTGTACCAGTGTCCAAGGGTGATCATGCACAGATGTGTACCTGTGTCCCAAGGTGATCATGCAGTGATGTGTACATGTGTCCCAGGTTGATCATGCACAGATGTGTACCGGTGTCCCAATGTGATCATGCACAGGTGTGTACCAGTGTCCCAGGGTGATCATGCACAGATGTGTACCAGTGCCCCAAGGTGATCATGCACAGATGTGTACCGGTGTCCCAGGGTGATCATGCACAGATGTGTACCAGTGTCCCAGGGTGATCATGCACAGATGTGTTAATCTGTCCCAAGGTGATCATGCACATATGTATATATGTGTCCCAAGGTGATCATGCACAGGTGTGTACATGTGTCGCAAGGTGATCATGGACAGATGTGTTCATGTGTCCCAAGGTGACTGTGCACAGATGTGTACATGTGTCCCAAGGTGATCATGCACAGATATGTTCATGTGTCCCAAGGTGATTGAACACATATGTGTTCATGTGTCCCAAGGTGATCATGCACAGATGTGTTAATCTGTCCCAAGGTGATCATGCACATATGTGTTCATGTGTCCCAAGGTGATCATGCACAGATGTATACATGTGTCCCAAGGTGATCATGCACAGGTGTGTACCAGTTTTTCAGGGTGATCATGCACTGATGTGTACATGTGTCCCAAGGTGATCATGCACAGATGTGTTAATCTGTCCCAAGCTTATCATGCACAGGTGTGTTCATGTGTCCCAAGGTGATCATGCACAGATGTGTTAATCTGTCCCAAGGTGATCATGCACAGATGTGGTCATGTGTCCCAAGGTGATCATGCACAGATGTATACATGTGTCCCAAAGTCATCATGCACAGATGTGTTCATGTGTCCCAATGTGATCATGCACAGATGTATACATGTGTCCCAAGGTGATCATGCACAGATGTGTTAATCTGTCCCAAGGTGATCATGCACAGATGTGTTAATCTGTCCCAAGGTGATCATGCACAGATGTGTTCATGTGTCCCAATGTGATCACGCACGGATGTATACATGTGTCCCAAGGTGATCATGCACAGATGTGGTAATCTGTCCCAAGGTGATCATGCACAGATGTGTTCATGTGTCCCAAGTTGATCATGCACAGATGTGTACCAGTGTTTCAGGGTGATCATGCACTGATGTGTACATATGTCCCAAGGTGATCATGCACAGATGTGTTAATCTGTCCCAAGGTGATCATGCACAGGTGTGTTCATGTGTCCCAAGGTGATCATGCACAGATGTGTTAATCTGTCCCAAGGTGATCATGCACAGATGTGTTCATGTGTTCCAAGGTGATCATGCACACATGTATACATGTGTCCCAAGGTGATCATGCACAGATGTGTTCATGTGTCCCAATGTGATCATGCACAGATGTATACATGTGTCCCAAGGTGATCATGCACAGATGTGTTAATCTGTCCCAAGGTGATCGTGCACAGATGTGTTCATGTGTCCCAAGGTGATCATGCACACATGTATACATGTGTCCAAAGGTGATCATGCACAGATGTGTTCATGTGTCCCAATGTGATCATGCACAGATGTATACATGTGTCCCAAGGTGATCATGCACAGATTTGTTCATGTGTCCCAAGGTGATCATGCACACATGTATACCTGTGTCCCAAGGTGATCATGCACAGATGTATACATGTGTCCCAAGGTGATCATGCACGGATGTGTTAATCTGTCCCAAGGTGCTCATGCACAGATGTGTTCATGTGTCCCAAGGTGATCATGCACAGATGTATACATATGTCCCAAGGTGATCATGCACAGATGTGTACCAGTGTTTCAGGGTGATCATGCACTGATGTGTACATGTGTCCCAAGGTGATTATGCACAGGTGAGTACATGTGTCCCAGGGTGATCATGCACAGATGTGTACCTGTGTCCCAGGGTGATCATGCACAGATGTGTACCTGTGTCCCAAGGTGATCATGCAGTGATGTGTACATGTGTCCCAG